AGTTGTGACCCCACTCATCCATATCAAGTATAATGTGCAGTTTAGAAAATATATCAAATAAAGTTTATTACTAGCATACACATGTCTAAAATAGTTCTAAAGCAGAAATCCTCAGATTTGTATAGTTTAAGAATATTCTGAAAAAATAAAATAAAATAAAACTTGTAATGTTGTGATTAGCAAATGTTTCAAATAGTTTTAAACTGTGCCATTTTTTTTGGTGTTTGGATATTCCTGGGGCATGCATAGTGTCCCCAAAAGCTATAACCCAATTAGTGAGATCATCCAATACTTAAGTATTAGTATTATTTGCATAAATGTCTTTTTTTAGACTGTGTAGTTTAATACAATCACTTTAAAACTGAAGGAAACAAGTTAATTCATGGTGTGTTTATGATTACCCAGTTTGAAGCCATCCACTCCTTTCTGTGTATGGGTTTAAAATAAACTTTTACAACAGCTCTAGTCATCATAAAATTAGAAGGGTGTTGTTGGGGTTCTAGCTGTTGTCCTTATTACGCTATGTGTGGCTTTTCCATCTGAACAGCAGTGATGGATGAAAAGAGTAATAACAGATGCTATTTTTTCTTTGTTTGATTTTGGGAAGTTGCTGTTAAATGGTAAAGGATTATAGACAAAGATGTTTCTAAATCCTAGTCTCTGTTATTGTAAAATGTAGAAATTGGTTTCTTTACATCCATTTGCGTTAAGCCCCTTTTAAACTGAATAATGACCTCACAAATTTGAAAAATATATTTAGTTTAAATGCAATCATGTTGCTGCTACTCTCTTAGGACTCAACACATAGTTTTTAATTGAATTTCTTTTGGTATTTTCTGTTTTCATAAGATGCTCTCCTGTGCCATCACTAGACTCTATAGGCCTCGCCTGGTACAACTCTTAGCACACATCAGAATACAGCTACCGGTACCACATCTGTGCTAGGCCGTTTCAATGACTTTGTCATGATCATAGTCACACTATTGGCACAATGCCCGTCTAACCAGTTATGCTTCAAATTCTTCACAAACAAGCTAAAGTGATGCACAAGCTCTGTGTTATAGGTGCATTACCATATTCCATTACGCTACACCTAGGAATTCAATATGCTGTTTACCTCAATAATAAACCACTAGAAACTCACTATGAATTTTCTGTTTATGTTCAAATCCATTGTAGATCCCACTGCATTCTTATTTTGAGACTGACAACCTCCCCAAGAACATGCTTAACCATTCAACAACTCAGTCTTTGTTAGTCTATTTCTCTTTGCATGTATTTTGCTAGCATAGCTATTGTAGAAGCTTCTGGGCTTGACACAACCAGTATAGGCACCCTAAAAAGTCTGCAGTTACAGAGTGCAAGGCAAACTGCAGTGCACCTCTGTTCTAACACTAGTTTGTCCCAGAAACATTATAAATATTTGTAACAGCATAATAGCATTATTTGATAGGAGGATCAAGTCCATCATACATTCCCCTGTGCATGAATGAGACTGATGCTGACTGGTTTCACTGATGGTCAGGTCCTGAATCCTGCAGTCTGAAAATACCTCAGAACCATCAGTTTGGCCCCTGTCAGTCACTCAGATCCTTACATAAACTAAAGGTTCTTGAATGTTAGATGTATAAAGAAATAAGACAACAATCTAAATGGTTTTATACAATGGCTGTGGCTGAGTGGTTAGAGCAGTCGTCCTCCAATGCAGTTGGAGGTTCGATTCCACCAGCAGTTACATGCCGAAGTGTCCCTGGGCAAGACACTGAACCCCTCATTGCCTCCGATGTGTGTCCCATCAGTGTATGAATGTGATAACGCACCGATTCATCTTTGTATAGATCTTGTAGAGTGCTGTATGAATGGGTAAATAAGGGCACAGGTTGTAGTGTAAAGAGCTTTGAATATCTCGATCAGATAGAAAAGTGCAATATAAGTGCAGTCCATTTACCAAATATGAAGCTCACATAGCTATCACAAGTTTCAAAAACTTTAGTACATGTCATGCATTTGTAGTTATTTGATTGATTGATTGGGGAGAAGCTTCTCATTGGGAGTGACAAACTTACTAAATATATAACTTTTTGTTTCAATAGTTAGAAAAAACAGACAACGTGGGTGAATTTAAAGTGTGCTTAGTGAAAATTCCACTGTTCCAACTATCAATTTAGAAGAAATTAAAGCTATTTTCTTGTCCATTTTATCTTGAAAAATGTGTTTTTATGTCTATGTTTGATATATAATTTATAACTTCTGCTTAGGGATGATTCTTTATTGTTCTGAGACATTTTTGTCCTCAAATTGGATTGTTCTTACAAATGATCATGTCTCAGTCTGTTTCCTGATTTTGTTAGAACAATGACACAATCTCCAGAGTCCCCACATGAACTCCATAAAGTTAAGGCCTCAAAGATTAAAGCTTTGGCTTTCCTGTAACAACTTGTTGCACTCATCCTAACATGGAGCCAAGTAAGCAGGGTGTTATGGCATAGAGCAATTCTTGTAACATCAGGGCCATAGATGATACTGGTACCAATTTTTGTGTGCGCGTGCCTGCGTGTGTGCATGCCTGTGTAGCCCCTAGGCTTAGAGGTCGTAATGCTCACTGCTGCTGCTACTACTATTTGAGTTAATGAATAACAAAATAATTGTATGTAAATAACTGTGTACTAACTGACAGTCATATAATGGTTTATGAAATACTTTTTTACACACATTTCAGTGAACGATTGGCGATTTAACGTATCCACTTTGGCCTTAGTTTAACTTTAAGTGGGACTTTATTTCTTCAAATGGATTGTTAAAAAAAAAAAGATAACAGGTAAGGAATTCATTTTCTGCAGCCTTTACACAGAACCCTACTTAAATAGATATTGTGGTTCACTGGAGACACACACACACACAAACGAGATGCACATGTAATACCAGCAGAACAAAGACCCAGGAAGGTTTCTGTGGCAACAGGCAGGTGTTCTTATGGAAAAGTGAGAGCACACAAATAAATGGTAACCAGCCTACACTCACCAGGAGAGGAAGTCATGTAGTCAAGAAAAAGACATGAGCAGGTAGAGCTGATGAAAATATGAAAACACAACGATCAATCCCAAAGATCAACACCAGGAACAATTGAAAAAGAAAAATAATAAAATGGCAGTACTAAACCTGATTGGTCAGACTTTAAACATTCTTTTTGACTTGACAAAATGTGCACACACACACACACACACACACACACACACACACACACACACACAC